CCCCCTGATAGTTATTTTGAAAATATATTTCATGTACAGAATTGACCCCTCTACAGATTTATTATAAGTATAGATTGTGCATTCACATTATCTTTTTTCGAGGGTAAAGGAGCCTACAATGCGCCATTGAGGTCCTCAAAGCTCTTTGTTTACCCTTTTAGATAAAATATAATTAAATGGATGAACAACTTTAATGAAGAAGAATATATTTACGGCACTGGCGACCTCCACGCGCGGTTGGCCGCCATCTAATACATTCCCAGTTTACGATGCAACATTTCACAATCAGCAGGCCCACTACAGAAATAAAAACGATAATCGGGCCGAAACTCTTTAATCCAATTATTATGTTTTAGACTTTAATGCTTCTAGAAATAAGGTCTTTAATTTTCCTACGAAATACTTCGTATTAAATTCGCTTATTTTATTCGTGGTAGGCCCTCAGAATGTCCGCAGTCGCCGCGCGCGACAATCCAACGCTGCTACACCTCGAATCGACAATATTTGTGTAACTCGAAAATGTGTGTCGAACGCGGTTTATTTGTATTTATTTATTCACACATATTTAATTATGGTGACGGTCAGTCAGCGTAGTTGAAGAACATCTCGTGATAACATTATTATTATAAAGGTACAAATTTTCCAGTTAGGCTTCTTACTTTAAATTCTAAATGTATGTTATCAACGTACACCTACTTTTTAAAAATCAACAATAACAGTAGTTTTTCCAAGACGAGGGAAAACTATTCAGCCGACTTAAAAAAAGGTAGAGGTTGTTAAGGACCGTTTCTTTTTTAATGTTGGTTACCCCAGAACTTGCGAGTTTGATGGTTATTTTTTATTTTAAAGCTGGTACTTCCATTACCATTTCAATTTGGTCGAGTTCTAACAATAGTATCCATGTATATGCGTGACAAATGGGCGAATAACTCAATATCACGCCAACCAATTTTGGACGACTCTTTTCTGTTTCATTGAAGAGTTTGTTAGCAAAATGGTCCTGTAATAATTTGGTAAAGATCTGATAAATAATTTCGGAGATAAACAACTACTCAAATACGAACAGTTCACATCACACATCGTGTTTGGGTATTTTACGAAATATGAAAGAGAGATCGCATCACAAAAATCTATATTTAGTATGTTGGTGTTGCTCTGACATATAAAAAGTGAAGAAAAAAAAATATTTAAAAAAAATAAGAACCGACTTGATAGAACAAAAGCATTAAAAACCATTCCATTATTATTAAAAAAAAAATACACATATTGCATATTTCACATTGAGTTATTAGAGCCAGCATATTAGATGCCAAAGAGAAATAAATTATTTTAGTTAGTAGCACATGTGGAGCATTTTATAAATACAACAACCTTTTAAAAGAGAAAATCTTAAGGATAGCATCCACTTAGATATACACACACTAAAGACAATGGTTGATAGGTCACACGACAAAGTCTATCGACAAGTGGCAATCGATTTTCCAGCAACACTACTTCGTCTCAATAAGGATTTGCAGATTTGTACCCAGTTAATGGCCGGTACAGATTATAATTAGCTCCGCTGGGATTATTATTATCGCTAAGCTAAGAATGGAGAAACCATTAAAATGTAAGAAAAAATAATGCATGTTTTTAACTTCACATTTACTTCATATTTTAAGTCAAATTAACATTTTGAGTAGGTGCCATGCCAACCCAAGCAGTAAATGGCAACGCAGATCTGTCAATGGCATGACATGGCACTGACTGGAAATGATAATTGGAAGGAAACTTTTACCGGGTTTTCATTTCGCCCTTTTAATTTCTCTTTCTGACTTTGACGACTGCTGCTCCGAACCCATGAGTATAAACGCTGGAGCTCTACAAGGTTCGGTACTCTCCCTGGCGCTGTTAATTCTGCATTTAAATGACATGATGTCTATTCCTGGCACGTGTGCGGATGATGCGCGGTACACTGGCCAACCAAACATCCCTTTATTGCGGAATGGCGGACTAAGCTTGGTCTGAAGTGGAGAGTTTTCTTAAGCGAATCTCTGAATAGGGAAGTCTGAATCTCGTCTCGTTCAACCCTTTTTTTTATTGTTGGGAAAATGCTTGACGCTCCTTGGTGAGAGGCGGGGTTATGTGGGACTCCTCCTCCCCCCAAATCCCCGTTCAGCCAAACTGGCTCAGCGGCTACTCGGGACGAGCCCCCCCCCCCCCCCCCCTCGTGGGAACCTGCCGGAACGGGTTTCGTGGGATCCTGGTGACTCTCCACGTTACCTCCGGCAGGGATTCCTCCTCCTCCTGGCGGTCAGTGGGATGCCCAGAAGCACCTAGTCATCTCCCCTCGACGGGTGCAATGCGGACGACGGACCACCCTGTCCGCCGTCCGCTAGCCTCACTAGGGTGGAATGAGGCGGTCGTACCGCCGCCTCCTACCACCCCGCCATCGGCGTCGGAGAGGGCTGGCCCGGGCCCTCTCCGCTGTCTCCTTTTGGAGGATGACTTCCTCACAGAAGGAGACTACCGCAGTCCAGGATCTGTCACTGTCCAGCATCGCTCTAACGACGCTGGGCAGCGAGATCGCATCCCGTCCTATTGCCATGACCATATCATGGTCTCGCCCAACCCTAGCTAGCAATACAAATGCAAATAAGGATTTCTTTGTTGTCATTCCACAATTCCAAGGTGTTACACAACATGTTGCACTAGCGTTGATATACTAGGTGTTGACATTTGGTGTGAGTCCAGTATAGAAACCATTTAGTGTGCAAGGGCAACTGGCCTCTAAAATGCTGGGAGTTTTTAATCATTCTAAGCAGTACTTCACGTCTGAACAAAGGCTTCTGCTTTACACACCGTAAATTAGGCCCCACGAGGAGTACTGTTCACATCTCTGAGCTGGAGCTCCCAAATACCAATTTGATCCCCTCGATTCTATACAAAGCGCGAATCACAGTGGCAGAGTTCGAAAGACAAACTTCTCAAAACCTTTTAAGTATCTCTCTAGAAACAATTTCACGAGACACGAGTCTCTCATCTCGCCCCAGAGCAGCAATCAACGCAAAAAGGTGTTTGAATGGCGCGAGAATTTCTCTCATTAGCAGTTCGCGGAATAAAAATAGTTGGTTGTTTTTTTTCTACGCACTAGACCAATAGTAGTAATTCCGTTGGTAAATCTTTAAACTACATATGTGTGTTTAAGTGGGGTGGAAATATTTTGAGTAATGTATTTTTTTTAGTAGAGCTCACATAAACATTTTATATTCGAAAAAGGGGTAACTATAATTACATCTCTTAAGTCTTTTTCAAATAAAACGCATCTAGTTCAGTTTTGGTAGGTACTTAATAATTACAAAGTTGGTTTCAATAGGCTACATAAATCCTTAGTACGACAAACTATCATACAATATCTCTCTAAGTACTTCATTAAGGCTAAGCAGATAATCCAGAGGGACGGCAGCGGTTGGCAAGCGCTGTTGGTCGCGATGAACTCATTCCAAGGTGCATCGAGTCTAGGGTCCAGTGCGTGTGGTGGAAATGTCGCCGGAAGCTGGGTACAAACAGACGAAAAAAAATCAAATTGATGAGGAGATCATAACAACAATGGAAAACTACCCTGCCGAGTCTGACGCAATGGATGAAATAGATGAATTTTCACTGATTGCAGTTTACTTCAAGGAAAACAACCTTGCCCTGATTCTGCAGTTATACGTGCGCAGAGATTTAAATTAAAGATTTCAGACCGGCAAGATTCGCAATTCCACGACACGCACAACTGATGACCTGAAGTATGAATGATACTTCAGGCCATTAGTGGTAATTAGTGACAAGGAAGAAGAAAAAGCTCTTTGGTTCGGAACACCCGATCGATTAACTCAGGGCGTGTTCAGATGACACGTGTCCATCACGCACAGGACGTATACGTGTTGTGCTGGCCTTACACCCACGCGCAAAATCAGCGCATTATACTACTACTGATAGGACTACTTCGTTCAGTAGACATAAGGTACACTACTCATAGCGCGGGCGCAAAGCGTATACGGGGTGGGGTGAGCGCAAGATTGGTACGAGGCTTGCATGGAGCGGTGGTGGACATCGATAAATGGAATTTGGTATTATTTTATTTAACAAATTTCAAAGCAAGTTAGACTCGGGTGCTGCCGCGCTGAGCGGGCGCGTGTCGTCTGAACGCGCTCTTAAATTCACATCATGTAGCAAAAGCAGAAATCTTACTTTTTGATCCAAAGGTTCTAGGTTTGAAATCTGATAAGCATAATTGAATTTGTAATGAGCACAAACGTTTATTCCCGGCTTATGGTTAAACCTATGGTGGAGCTGCGACTTTTGCAGTAGCCAAAAAAATATTATTTCGCACCTTTACATGCTTCGGAAAGATTTTGGTTGCGGCTGCTTCTACGTCATTCTCTGTGTGCGTGCGGATTGGTGGGTGCCGATTATTGAATGCACAACGACTAAAGCAATGCCTATACTTCATCAGCGGTGATATAATTAGACTGATGATGGTAATCATTAGCTATGATATAATATTATGTACCTTACTACTGGCACCCTGGCTGGATGGGTTAGACGAGCTGGGTTCACGAATCACGTTAGCATCAATGGTGGCAACGTCCATTGTGTCCTTACGCTGGCGGTGAGAGCCGAGCAATGCAGACAGCTCACGTTCCGCCACACTAGATGGTGTCGTCCATTTTGTTTCCGCATCTGAAGGAAATTCCTACCATTTGAAGTAATCTAGTGCGGTCTCCAAAGTGAAATAGGTTCGAATCTAAAACGCAAACTATCTAAGGTAACCTCGAATTTACAGAAGATTCATATCCTGTAATGTCTTGTTCCAGAAGTAAGATTATTATCAAAACTCCTCGGTGTTAAATTTTAGGTTCCGACCAGATAAATTAAGTATGGATAGAGCACGACTATTTTTTATCATCACATTTGATCAACTTAACTCCATAAAATAATATAATAATTTAAAGATATTATTACTTTTTATTTGACAACTTACAATTACATGGAATACGAAGTCAATAAATACAAACACTGACTTTATAAAAAAAATACTTATATATTGCATTCCGAAAGCACTATCGGACTAATAAGAGCAGAAACAGCAGCATCAGAGCAACACTCCTAATTTGAGAAGATAATTTACACGCCTTGTTATCCAGAAGTGACATATCCACGTAGTCGCAAACCACATCGTCCCAATTGTCGGTAAGGTCGCGGATATTGCGTGCATCCGCCAGCAGTTTCTGGCGCATCAATTGCCTGACCTTCTGCAGGCGCTGCGGCGAGTCCTCCGGAATCTCCACAGCCCGCATCCAAGGCTGCTGACTGGACGGTGGTTCAACCATCACAACCGTCGGCAGCCTCTTCGTCACCTGAAGCAACACCGGCGGCTTCTTCGTGGACAACTCGCTGCGACCGCTCTCCTTTCTCTGAACTTTTTTCAAGATCGACAAACGAGACTTCTCCGCAAGCGACAACTCTTTTGTGTTATTATTCATGTCTTTTTTGACATGAACTGTAGGCGCGAAGGTCGTCGTGCTAGTTGAAGGCAGGATATATACTGTAGTACTGGCAGCTTCTGTTCTCGTGATAGTGGTAGGCTCTCGAGATGGTCTGGTAGTAGAAGGCTGTAGCATACGCCGGTTGGCCAGCAACTGGGTGGAGGCTCGCGCCAAGGGTCCAGGAACCAGATGCTGCCGCACTGAGCACACATAAGCCACATGTTACCTTTCTTCTATTCCCAACAAACTACTTAGACACTCGCGTCATACAATAACTTTTATTGCAGTAAAATTATCTCTTTAAACTTAAATTCATAATGTTTAAAAACATTCCCGTAAACTGTAAGCGTTATGATCATGACTCAATAAATGTGAAAAAATAATTTTAAGGCAAAACTTCATTAACCACATGTTGTCTAAATCCATTGTTAGCAACTTCTATCAAACTTAAATGTTAATAATGTCATTAAGAGCAAGCATTTTATACTTTTTATTTTACTACTTGTTAAACTCACCTTGTGTTCGCCGCATGGAAGGCAATTTATTTTTGACGTTCATGGCTCTCTTCATATCGTAGTAGTCGCTATAGTTGTCATTATACTGGCTTCTTTCTTGATTTTTGCCTTGAAACGAGCGGACCAAAGCTGGCTCCTCATCGCCAGACGGTGGTTCAAGAGGGCGTATAGGAGCTAAAAGGCGCGGGCGTGTAACGCCCTCAAAGTCGAGTCTTCGCTGTTCAGCGATTTCCTGATCTTGATCCAATTGCGGCCATATGTCCAAATTGCGCTCTTTACCCATCTCTCTCATTTCAATTTCGTCGTCATCGCTTGGTCTGTGCCTCTCCAACCTATCCCTCGGCCGCCGGCGAGCTCTCACGCTTTTAGTCCGGTACGTAAATTGTTTATTTTTATTGACCAAACTCTTGCTTTCATCCAAAAAATTGTCTTTGTCGTCACGAATTTCTCTCTCGTCTGACAACTCGGGCACAATATTGCTTCTGTCTCGAACACGTCTCTTTAAAAACCTAGGACTGTCATCGTTTTCATCGAATTTGTGACTTTTGTATCGAGGGCGATGTTTTGTGAATCGGATTACGGATTTAGCTTTGTGGATATCATCATCGGGCTCGAATTTTTCTTCATCATTTAGTATAAAGTCGTCATCGACTTTCCTTCTTTGTTTCCTGATCGACCTTCGCCAAGACTCTGCTTCATTTATTTGTCCACCTGCAGATTGTTCAGTTTTGCCTAGGAAATAAAAGAAATACTAGATCAGTAAAAATCATTGTTTATTAAGTATATTTTCATTTTACTTAAGCAAAGTCCTCGTCAGTGATAATATCCATACCGTAAAAATACTGGCCTACTTTGCATGCATAGGCAGACAGTACGCCAGTTTACCAGTTATTGCTAACGTAACTTAGTATTTACTACCCTACCTATGTTAGGATCTTTTGGAAGGCGTTCACTAAGCTAGCTAATATCAAAACTCCAAAACATGTTCTTACCCTTAAAGTCCTCCTCATACTTGTAGTCGGGTGAATGCGCGCGGTACTCGTCACGATCTATCGACGGCTGTTCATCGTCCCCGTAGGCGGGCATGTGCAGTGAGTAGTCGCTGCCGTACCTCGCTCCATATACCCTGGCCAGTAGCGCGGTCGCCAGAAGGTAGGCGACGACGACCACTCGCGCCATCCGCCTACCTCCTATTGCCACCCTATAACACTTCTATTATCAAGTGTATTGCAAAAATTTGCCGCATAATTTCTGCAACAGTGACTACGAATTTGACATTGATGTTCGCTTGGCACAATGGTTGCCGTAGCTTTTTGATCTATGCATTTTTATTTGCATTGACGCATCATGGCGCAACCGAATCGGATTTTAAAAAAAGTTTAGAAAAAAATATTGAAATCTATGGATGTCTGGCCCCGTCTGACTGAGGCACGATGTCTGGCTTGACAAATAAAAAACAAATTTTGACAGCTCATCATCAACAACGTCAATATGTTACAAAAAATGCAAAATTAAACCACGCCAGTTACCCAACCATAAAAATTTTCAATTTCAATCAACACAAAATTCTAGTTCATATTTCTCAACATTATGTGCAAATAAAACACAAGAGTTCAGCTTACGATGAGGTATCAATAACATTAGCCAATCAGTACAATGACCGAAAAAAATCAAGTAAAAGATGACGAAAAGAAGGAGGACTGCAGTTGCTACGCGGGATCGCGCAATGTTAAGACTTGTCCACCAATCCGAAACATAACACATCCGTTGGTGAGTGGCATCGGTATCTAAGCAACCATATTTAAGATAAATAGAGATTTAAGCGCCTGAAGAAGAAGAAGAAGAAGTAATAGAGGATCACAGTAAAATAACGCTACCCATTGGTGGTGTTGAGTTTCTGTCGCTGAGTAAGGTGGCTCCACGAAATAGACGATTGTGTCAGGGTGGGCAACAGCGAATGATATTTTTGTATCGCAAGGGACTTTGGGCTGTATAGGTTAGCTGTATAGGCAAAGCTTATTTGCCACCGTTTTAACATAAAAAGAAATAATATTCACTGCCGGATTTAGGGGAGGGCAACCGGGACGAAAGCCCCGGGGCCTCCACAAACGGGAGGCCCCCACAATAGACTTCGGAAAAAAAAATCTTTCAAATTCCAACTAGTAAACATCTTTTCCTTTGATATTTTTTTTTGCTCTTTTAGCTTTACCTACAGCCACAGTACTTTGTACATCTAACATACATGATTATTTGATTATATTAATCTCAGGGCCGAATTAAAGGCAGGGCAGATGGGGCTGTGGCCCAGGGGCCTCCACAACAGGATAAAAGATAACAAAATTTCGATGGGTTAACAAGCATACAAATCCTAAGTAGCCCGGGGCCTCCACAATCCTAAATCCGGCCCTGATATTATTACCTTCTTGCTTTCGCCCGCAACTGTTTTCGCATACCTAGTTAGATTTTGAGAATACCGTAGGTAGGTAAAATATTTAAAAAATATTTTTTTAACAAACTCTATAAACGTATACGTAAACAGTGTCGTAGTTTGGCAGACACGTAGCGATGTAACATAAATGAATAAATGGGTTATTTCTTAGCTCTTACGGTCATGAAATGAGAGCGTGGTTTAAAAGTGCGTCCACTCCAGACAGCTAACACCACGCTTTATCATTACTTTTGATCGTATTATTGGTTAAACTATGAATATTAAGTTGCCTATTTACGTCAGATCAATGTACTTCAAAGTCCTCTTTTAAAGTGACTAAAGGGTACAAGAGATATTAACCACCACCTACGTTCTCCTTTCAGCGGTATTATGAGTTTACGCAGGATGAAATTAGAGCGCTGGAACAGTGTGACAAGGAAAGCTTTTACCGACGCTGCCTCCCACTTAGCACTGCATTCGCTACGGCCACATACTTCGCCATCAAAACCGGTGAGTTATTAAGCGAGTCATTCTATATAACAGACATCGGAGCAACCTGGGTTCTGGCACTGGGCACTTTGGAAGCTACTTTACGAAATGTCATGAAAAATATCAGTGCTGTTCCGGCAAGATACATTTTTTAAACTTTAAATTCATGCGGGCTATTTAAACTTTACGGCTCTATATATAGGTCATTTCGCCAAGTTAATCTATGGTTAAACTTTTTAATACAAAAGTAGGCTATAACTATCACAAAAAATGGCTTATAGTACCGTGGGTAACGCGCCCCGATCGGGGCGTGCGGTGATCGACCGTGCGGTATTTTACTGAGCGCGCCCCGATCGGGGCGTGTGGTCTTTATTGAGTTGTCGACTATAAACTAAAGTTAACCGTTTACCATTATTTTCACTTTTAATACGAACTTTTAATAAACACTGCTGACAGTAATTATCTCGAAAGATGTAGCTCTACAGGTCGCGGCATGTAACTGTAGCGCTGAAAAAAACGCGGTGGAGACATCTGCGCATGGGTACGACTGGAGAGCCAATCGGCGCAACGCACGCCCGCCCGCGCACCTCGTTTCCCCCCAACACATCTTAATTTCTACTTCCGCGCAATAATGGTCGGCGCTAGAGTTTCGGGCCGCGACTTATACTACTGGTTTGTATGGATTTCTATGCACTTGCAGTCGATAAGAGCAGCTACAGAGGCATTTACCTTCCAAGCCTGCAGAAGCCGTCGGCAGTGGTCCGTAATGACTCTTCAACTTAATTATAATATAATAGTCTTATACTGCTCCAAACACAAGCTGCTTAATAGCATATGTGATTTGCTACTAGGTTATCTTAGGTTATCTTTCCCCAAAAGTGCCGTTGGCCGTATAAACTAGGGACGCCACCAAAATATTCATAGAAGTAAGAATAGTCGATACACGAACTACACTGGGCCATTCTTCCCTTGCCTATTTCCGAATGTTTGAAAATGACAAAACATATGATAATACAAAAAATGGTTGCCTGTAAAGTCGGTTTTACGGGCGAAGATTTTACGTGACAACGTCTTTTTCTCGGTAGAATATTTATTGATATGAATATAATTAAATTGCACAATAGGAACAAGGAATTGAATGAAAATAAGAATTGCACAAATTTTAACTATAGAAATATATTTTGTTTACTAAAACATTGTACATGTAAACTTAAACTTAACACGAGAGACTCATCGTAACGTTACCGAGCGTTACACTTTTTCATAAGTGACTCCCAGCCGCAACCTAATTTAAGACGTTGTCACGTCAAAAGACTGCAATTATTGCTTCGTGAATATTTCGGTGACGCTCCCTTCTTACTTCTATGAATGTTTCCTTCTAGGGTACCTGAAGAAGAGCCCTCATTTCGGTATGGCGCCCAAACTGTTAGTGGCGGTATTAGTTGGCCATATTCTGGGAAGGGTAGCCTACTCACCGCATTGTGACGAGCGCTTGCGCAAGCTACCGGTGGGTAGCAAGCTAGGCGACCTGATGCGCGAGTATCACAATCAAAGCCAGCCAACGAGTTCCAAACAAAAATCTTAAGAAAATTAAATTCAGATAACGAAACCTATTTATTTAATTTAAGCAAATAAACGTGTTTGATGCCATTACTCTTTGCTTTGTTTGCTTTGTATGGATAAAATGTCCTCAGCTTTCTATATCTAGTGTTAAGTGTTACCATAGAGCAACATGGAAGGGAGTAGCCGTAGCGACTTCATAGGTACTATTCAAATATCCTCCCTAGGCCCCTCCTGGTCGCGTAGGTCTTGTTACTCTATGTGTGTTATTCCATTTCAATTGCCTTAACAAGTAATCATCACTACTCATTAATATGGATGGAATCTTATATGACTCGTTATTGGATACATATACTATACATCTGTGGAACGAACTCCCCCTAGATATTAGAATGTCCACCGGTAAAATTAGTTTCAAAACCAAGCTACGAAGCTTTTTATAGCAACAAGCAGTCTAGTTTAAAAACGTTAGTCGTCATTATAATGTATTTAAGTATTTAGTAATGTATGTATGTATGTTTATATAATATGTGTGAATGTATATGTATATTTCTTTATATGTAAGTATTTATTTATGTGTGTAATAATATAGATGTCTACTTCATATTTATATCTGTTCATCTATCTGTAACTTCCATCTATGTTTTGCACCCTACCACTATTTATCCACAACACCCTATGGTTGGCTGGTAGAGAATGCCTATAGCATTAAGTCCGCCTTTGTACGCTTGTACATTAAGTTATAATAAATAACCCCGCTCAGCCGTAAGCAGTTATTTCAAGGACAGGGCAGAGTCACAATACTGTATAGATAATATTACCGTGCCTGTATTCAAACATTGCTTGGTGCGGGTTGGTAAAGTTCACGGTGCACATCGGGTGTCGACACGTGGTGACACGTAAGGTAAGTTGTTTCTGCCTTTATTGAAAGCTTTTTGATCTGCCAAAAGGTATTCCCTACCTCTCAAGGAATGATGATCTCCTGGATGTAGAAGATCCGGTGGTTCATATTGTTATAAGCCTTTTCTAGGACTTTGTATTCAGCGGATAGACATGAGACGTACCGTTTTATCGTCTGTCCTTAGTGGAGACGCGGCTTAAGACTTATTAAAGTCGACTACACGAAGATGTATAGGTACCCCCTTAAGCCGAAAGAGAGCTGGAAGCCGACCAGCGCTTGTCAGAGCTGGTCCTTACTGGTAACAGTTACATAAAGGAAGCAGATTGAAGCGTAGTTGCTCATTAATTTCAAAGGGCGGTGCCAGCGCTGACCACCGCGTGTCGATGATTGTCGGCGACGTTCGGCGCTTATCCGCGCTGGTCCAAAGAAATGCCTGCGCCGGTTACCTACGCGAACCGGTTCCTATAAGCGCTGGTCGGCTTCCAGCTTTCTTTCTGTATACGACCTAAAGTTATAAATATATGTACCAATTTAATTAATTGTACATACCTACTTCGTTACAAATTTTTGTACACATGATATATGACGGATATATGTATACACTCAATGTGCCAAATTAATATATACAGCATAATAGATACTATAATGTGTACCCTCTGAAACAAATTAATATATGTATGCACACTTTGTCGGCGCAATACAAGTCGTCATTCTTATTTTATATTTCTGAAATTCTGTCAAAACTATTGAAAACTCTTTGGATGGTACATACGTCCATGCTAATATTATAAATGCGAAAGTGTGTCCTAAGTAATCCGCTGAAATGAGTTTTAAATCCAAGGAAGCAGGTACATAAGGTTTTTTTAGGGTTAGGATCACTTTGTTGTCCGTCCGTCCGTCTGTCAAGACCGTTTTTCTCAGGAACGCGTGGAGGTATCAAAATGAAATTCATATCTAATACTCATATCTTACTGTCCCTTCGAGCTGTGAAAAAATCAAACTTCTAAGCCAAAGCGATCAAAATATACAGCTGTTTATGCGGCAAATTTCCTCAAATTTTCGAAACTCGCACTGGAATCAAAACCTACAGGGTACTTCCCGTGAACTTAGAATCTTGAAGTTTGGCACGAAGTAACGTCTTATAGTACAGATAAAGGGAAAATTGCGTAATCCGTAAATTTTTAGTTATATCATATAATAAAAAATGTTTTTGAAAATTTTATAGTTACTACCTCTTTTCTCATGAACGCGTAGGGGTATTAAATTGAGTTTGTACGGAACCTTCGGTGCGAGAGTCTGACTCGCACTTGGCCGGTTTTTTTTTTCTTACAAATCATCCTTTTTAAGTTTCCTCCAACAACTCCTCTATTTAATCACTAGTGGATAATAGTTTCTCCCATTATCATTATAAGAATAGATGAGATTTAAATCTAAAGAAGCAGTAAAATGTTTAAAGCTTAAAATATATTAAACGGCATTAATTAATTCATAAATTTTATTGATAGTAAAATGTATCGTGCTAATGTAGGGTATACAAAGAATCGACCAAGTTTTATTATTTTATGCCAAAATGTGATGAAGAATTACTACTATTTATGTCAAATTTAGTTTTTGTATGGAAAAACGGGAAAAACTGGTTGCATAGATAACGCCTCCTTTTTCGAGACGGCCGAAAAATAATGGAAATAAGTAGCGAAAGTAATTTTTAACTCCGATAAACAAATGACACGGCAATAACGATATTCTAAAATTTGGAAATAGAATAACAGACAAGGAAATAGAATGTTAAAGTATCTTTGTAACCAAAGACAAACACATGAATAGGGTATTTGACAAGTTTTAGAAACGACCTCACGTTATTGACTATGTTTATGGATTCCGTAAAAAGTGGATATTCATTATTCTATTGTGTATTTCAGTAAAAATAACCAAATCAAAAACTCCATTTTCAAGTTGCCGCGAAAACGTTTCTCTGGACATGGGTATGGCGTCTTACTAGTGTGTGACGTCACACGACTGTTATCAAAACGTCAAACGATACAATGTAATGTCACTTTAACCGGAAGTTTTCTTGCGTGTGACGTAATTTTAGGCTCCGCCAATCCCAAGCGTTTTTGGTCACTGGACAAAAGATAAGAAAACTATTATCTTTTTTTTCGTTAGTTTTTAGTAAAATTATGAATATTTTTTTGCAAATAATTTTAAAAACCCCTGCCAATATTCATTCTAAACACAGATGCTAACAATTGGCACTTTATTTTTAACACTGTCAAATACCCTATTCGTTTCGGCGCGAACACATTACAGTTTAATTTTAGCTGTGTACATTAATTTGGCACATTTAATTCGAATGAATATGGCATACATCAAGTGTGTGTGTACTTGTATTTGTAACAAACAATGAGAAAACCATCAATAAATACATATATATGTAACTTTCAAATTATATACATCTTTTTGGAGTCGACTGTGCAGATCGCGGCACGTAACTCTAGGTACGACTGGAGAGCCAATCGGCGCAACTCATGTACACACAACTTGTACATGTACCTACAACTTGGGGCTTATTTTAAAATCTGACACCCCGGGAACTTTATGATTTGCACCCCTTAGAAATAGTAAATCTATTAAAAATATAGATCAGTAACAATTTTGCTTTTATGTGATTTTTACTGCTTCTGCCAGCTCATACAGCCACCCAGGGACATGTTCCTCTTGGCCTCAGGGTAAATACGCCCCTGCTGCCTACATCTGCTGGGAATACTTTGATGCATGTGCGGTGCAAAACCAACCAATTTTGATTTTCTTAAAAGAGCACAAAGGATATGAAGTTCATACAGCCTATCGCCATAAAAAAAATTGGTGAATCTTAGAAAAAAAATACGAGTATTTGGCGGAATTTCATCGTGTGGTTGGCGTCTTATTTTAATTATTCTTAAATTCGTTTATAGTGGATATTGTGAAATAAAATTGGTGTGATTTTGTGTTACAACTGTCTGCGTAACTGAAGAATTAGTAGAATCGTCAAAATATACGCTATTCCGGTCAAGTGGACGTGAGAATTTTATTGTAGTATTGTCTACCTCACAGAAGCTTATCGAAAAAGCCAGCTCGATACATTTCGTGCCAAACACTTCAAGAAACATTAGAATGCGTCACACCGACATTCTAATGTAAAAAGGAAAACAGAATAATTTAACTTAAGATTAGGCTGTATGGGCATTGTTCCCCTTGCCTTCCTTGAAAAGGGAGAACTTAACCAAAAAAAAAATACTGTCAGTGCTGCCATGTCAAATTGTCGTTGCTGTCGTTTCTGTCTGACGTACTGAAGGCCAAAAGAGATGAAGAACTTGTATTAGCGGTCAGTGACAAGGATCTGGACTATATTTTCGTACACATACATTTTGTAAAAATATTGTTTTCTAAAACCTATGTAACTGTGAAGTGTTGTTAGGATGAGTGAGCGCAGTTTGTTCGGGTACCAAGAGGAGGTGCCTGGAGAAGTCCCGCGACCACCAAGCGCGCCGGTTAACCCGGTAAGGTTATACTGTTGTATGTGATGGTCATGAAGCTGAATCGGCGATTTGTGGTGTAACAGTGTTATTGCGTAGGCGCAGTACAAGTTCTCGCAGGATGAACTTCGGGTGCTGAGCGAGTGCAATCGCGAAAGCTTCTACCAGCGTTCGATGCCTCTGGGAACACTGTTTGGGTTCGGTGCTTACGCCGCGGTGCAGAGTGGTAAGTTGACTGTGTTCACTTTTACAATGCGCTTGGAACTAATTTTCTAGAATTTGTACTAAAATCATGTATAGTAATAATAAGTTTATTTTTACCTGATGATTTAATAAAAAAAGGTGTAATAAATATAGCTTATTTGCATTAGCACTTTATAGTGTGGTGGTTTGTCTTAAGTATGTATCATCAGAATACATATCGTTGTATTCTTGTGTAATTTATCACTAACATTTGTAAAGAAACATTCTTCAATATAGCAAAATCTTGCTCATACATCTTCTTTACTGTTGTATCATTTTCAACGAAGTGTCATAGTACAGCAACACTATGCTGAGACGAGAGTTCTGGTTGACCGAATGCAATGTTGTTTTTTGGGTGTTTTGATGTCTTTATATTGTTACGTTTATTGAGGTGCATGTCTTATGCTGGCACTTCACTTGGTTATTTGTATTTGCTATGTTATAAACTTGAAAACTGTCTGCCCTTATGATACTTTATAAGGAATGAAAAGTACAGACTGATGTCAAGTTTACAAATAGCCAAGTGAAGAACAGGCAATTATTTGTGTTGTTATTTTTGGTTTATAAATTGATTTAGGACTAGCTATTTTACTATTGTTGTTATTTTGTATTCTGACACTAAAACTTATTTTTTATAGGTATTTACTGGTTCTCAAATTTGGAACAACCTCCGTGGCCGAGTGGTTTGTTCACCGAGTTTCATGGTGGCGCCAACTCCAGAGGTCCCGGGTTCAAAACCCCTGCCCCTTATTGTGTGATGATTACAAACATTACTTACATATGTACAGTATATGTTTTCTATCTGTTACCTTCTACATTATATGATCATTGTAGAACCCAAACATATGGAACACTCAGTTGGAACAAATGTAAGACAACCGCTCAATGTGTGTGTCGGTATTTATTTCAACAAGAAATGCTAGTTCCAGTGCTTTTTAAGCTTATACTATATATACTGTGCCTTAAGTGACTCTTATTACTGGCTTGGGTAACTTTTGCACTCCCTATTATTTATGATATAAATATATTCCTTATACTAAAATGTTGTCTTACTTACCACTAAAACTAATTACACTGTATCTGAATTTATCTATTCCTTACGGTTTTATAAAGCAAGCAGTTAAATTCAAATTCAAACTCATTTATTCAGTCTAGGCTGTTACAAGCTCTTGTGAAAATCAAACGCTACGCCATCGGTTCGTAAATCTACGGCGGGAGACCTTGTACTGAGAAGAACTGGCAAGAAACTCAGCAAGGGCTATTTTTTTCTCCCTGTTTTGTTTCACACAGTGTCGTCAATTGAAAGATGACAATAGTGTCAGCCTCTTCGGATTCCATGGTTCATAGAAACCAAATGAAATAGGTCATATGTCATCCTTGCTCTCAGATTACGATCAGTTCATTAGCCATATAGGAAGTTTGCACATTTGATGAAGAAAGCTTATTCTCCCAATTGTGAAGTTTGTTACAAAGTAGACGATGTCCAACACATTTTGATGGAATGTGTGAAGAACAGAAGAGAGAGAGCTATTCATAAAACAATATCAACTTTAACTTTGGAAATATTAGCACTACCAAACTCAGACTTGATATGGTTTTTGCTAGTATGAATAGCTCACCCTCTACAATGTTTTAAATTATATTAGTTGTGTATGTTTTGGTTATGTGCTTACCACACGCACAAGCTTCACCACAGTTTGGCCTGCGCAAGCAACTCGGACGAAAAAACTGTACACTTTGTGCGTTACCACACGATTACACGGCTCAGTAATCTAAGGCACATGTTCCACCTCCGACGATGAACGATAAGCGAGTAGAAACTAGAAACGAATTGGCAGTCCTGAGTTAATGCACGCGCACGGCTTTTGACAGCCAAGCCAGCTTAACCGAGCGAGTATAGCTGAGCCAGTATCGCTGAGCTAGTATCGCTGAGCGAGAATCGCTGAGCGAGTATCGCTGAGCGAGTATCGCTGAGAGAGTATCGCTGAGCGAGTATCGCTGAGCGAGTACCGCTGAGCGAGTATCGCTGAGCGAGTATCGCTGAGCGAGTACCGCTGAGCGAGTACCGCTGAGCGAGTATCGCTGAGCGAGTATCGCTGAGCGAATATCGCTGAGCGAGTATCGCTGAGCGAGTATCGCTGAGCGAATATCGCTGAGCGAGTATCGCTGAGCGAGTATCGCTATGCGAGTTTGGCTGAGCGAGTCTTATCTTTAATAACTATTGTCACTCAGCTACAAACGAGTAGAGAGAGTTCTCACCGGCGACAGTGTGATCATTCAGCTATCAACTATTAATGTAAAAAAAGATGGCGCGTAACGGAAAAATGTGACGCGTAACCGAAAAATGTGACGGTAATTTTTTTTCCAACGCCGATAAAGAAGTTTCACTTCAAAAGACAACGCAAAAGTGAAAATTAAAGCGATCAAAGTGGACAAAAAAAATGTCTGTTGAATAGAAAAAATCATACACATATTAATCTAATTAAGGATTTAAGAGATGATCCAAACGATTTTCGTAATTATACACGGATGGATGAAATTGCTTATGGTGAATTGTTACTTTTTTTGCCATTTTTGAGTGACGATGACGAACGACCACATGAAACGACAAGCGAGCCTCGACACAAAGCACACTCGACTGTGGCTTGAACACTGAACGCCCAATCACACGCACAGACAAGTACGCGCAGGCCGGGCTTGCGCAGGCAAAATTTCAAGCAAGTCGAAAAGTGCGCAGGCCGCGCTGTGGGGTTGGCGCGTGATACAGTTTTACCAACTACACGCACCGTGTTCCGTGTACAAACCGGCCTGCGCAGGTAAAACTGTGGTGAAGCTCGTGCGTCTGGTAGGCCCATTAGGGTACAATGAGGCTGGCATATTCGTAGAAAAAAAGTCTCTAAATAAATAAAGAACAAAAAAAAAACACAAAAATAAAATTTATCACCTTCATGATTATCTATAATCTCTTGGGTTACTTACATATGAATAAAAAACTTTTAGTACTTAATACTGCACCATTTTTTTTACAATTACCATTACCTTACCATTTACTGATAAATGAAATGAGTCTACTTTTACTCTACAAAATAGCTACACAGTCTCCCAATTATTAAAAAAAAACTTGATGATGGACTTTATGATGTTTGTGCAAGGTTGTTTATTGAATGTCACTTGTGATTGTTGATTATGTATTTTTGTCATTTCCAAAAGGCCCTTTTTGTCTAACTGTAATTCTTTCGTCTAACAATCTCCAATCAGAGCTGAAAAAACAATCTAACGACTAGATGACACGGGGCGAGTTTACAAGTCTCTGGCAGCTTGTAAACTTGCCCCATGTCATCGGCTTTTTTCCCATCTGCAACTCGATAATAGAGGCTAGTTAACAAGTTACTAGCGAACTTGCTGGCTTCTAGCTTGTAAACTCGCCCCGTGTCATTGAGGCTTAACATAGCTAATCACTTTCTCGGCTATAAAATGGAAGAGTTGTTTTATGAATGAAATGGCAGTAAATAATATAGTTAAATAAGAAGCAGACCCCAGCTCTACCAATATAAGACAACACTCTGTCCTTAATCCATCAATGTTACAAATGTATATGAAGATTAATATATTTCACAGGTCGGCTAAAGCCCAACCCTCGATTTGGCCCGTACCCGAAAGTTACACTAGCGGTGATAGTGGGCTACTTCCTTGGGAAGGTGTCGTATCAGCGGGCGTGTGCAGAGAAACTGATGGCGCTGCCGGGCAGCTACATCGGTCAGTTGCTCAGGGACCGCCGCGACGGGAAGGCCACAGTGTGAGTTGCAATTTGCTATAACTCTTATTTTATTATTCTCCAAGAAATTAATTTTGTAAAAATCTGTTTTTAACAATTGAAACCTTGTTGTAAGGTACAATTTAAATTGTTTAAAAAAATCATTATAGTAATGTATTTGTAAAAAGGGAAGATATGGTACGCTCATACTAGCTTCAAATAAAATATATTCCAACTCAACTGTAGCAACTCTCACGCACGCACACTTCTGTAAATAAACATTCAATCGAGCGAGCGAGACGGAACCGTACACTTCAAAGAGCGCGAGCGAAACGGCGAGTCGCTTGGCTTGGCGACTGCGCTTTCCTTTCTGTCTCTACAAACAGCTGAGCTGTATTGTTAAAATAACAATTTACTTTTTCGCCATTTTTTTTATAGTAGTTTTGCGAATGAAAACTGTTGCCATGTTTGTTATTTTATCTTGAACTATTTGTGTTCTATATAAAAGCATCGCAGGCATTGTTTTATCTTTTTTATTGTTATATTGAGTGCACATGCATCCCGTTCGGATTTTCAATTGTGTCCAAACCGAATTTTGGTCATGCACCACAATTTAAGCGGATCACTTTTGAGCCGCGAGTGCCGTATCTTCTCTTTTTGTTTTAATCTAAGGTAGCAATCAGGGTTAAGGAACGACCATTTAACATCATGGCAAGCTGTAATAAAAAACATTGTATACGACCTGTTGCAGTTTACAAGAGAGCTATTCGTGATGCGATTGAGCAGGCCTTTAGCTACTCCTAAGTTTTTTTTTTCAATAACGTGCTGGTCTTTGATTATATACCCAATCTCCCTATTCCATCCATAGTGGGGACATTAATAGGCTGATGATGATGATGATGTAGTAGATTTTTTTTCGGCGGTTCCGCAGCTTCTAATGCGGTATGTAGGCGTGTATATAATCAAAGGTGCCGCTCTGATTTCAAAACTTCCAACCGAGACGAATACACAAATGACTAGTTTTTTGCAGTCAGCCGATACCAAAACAGCCTGCGACAATGTTCGGGGCGGGCCCCAGCGACATATACTCGGACGCGGGGCCCGGCAGCTCTCTGGACCTGGACACGGACCGCCCGCTGTTCTCCGATGACACTTACCGCCCAGACAATGCCGGTGAGATATGAACAGAGGCGCAAGCACGAATTTTGACAGCTCCGTAATGTAAAGTATCGTCAGAGTTTCTATCAAAACTAACTAGCTGTCGGACGTAAGAGAAAACTAGTCTTTTCAATACAAAGTTTGACAATGACTGAACGATACGGAGCTGTCAAAAATTCGTGCTCAGACCTCAGTGCCAGTTCTCTAATGTTACACCAAAATTTACTTACGTTTATTGTGACCGCTTGCACTGCACCCGATATTCTTTAATAAAATTTTGTCTTAATCCTTTTTAACCAACGATATTAAATACCCTAGATACAACGACACGAACAAAATCATGGCTGAAACATGTCCAAAAGGTAAATTGGACGACCCACGGAGCTCCGTAATATGATCGCGTTATCATAAACAATATAAGGCATTATTTAAACATTAAAGTCACCTTTAATGCATACTGTATAAGGTCTTAATTAAAACGCATGCGTGAAAGAGTTACGACAGTCCGAAATGCAAGCTCTTAAAATTTTACGACTTATTGCTACATGCGGAAGAGAAGACCCTTATTTCTTTGACTCTACGCCCAATTCTGAATGCGTAGCAAGTACGGACCGCGAGAAAAAGAGACGGCTATATAACCGCATGCATTTGAATATCACAAATATTTTCTATTAAATCAGTTTGTAGTAAGTATTCCAACAAAATTTGCGTTAAATTAACAAACGTTGACTAATCAAGACACTAGATATCTGTCGAAAAAACGGCAGTTTACGTACTATAAGCATTTTTTTCGCATTTTTTCACGGAGCTCTGCGGCATCTTCACTTTTCAACGGTCCGCGTGTGACTGTGAACCAAGAAGTGCTTGAGTGGTGTTCAAGCATTTCTTGATTGGGACAAATTTTGAGTGCACGTGATGTATCTAGGGTATTTAATATCGTTGCATTTAACGTATAATTACATCTTTGTTTAAAAAAGTCAAAAACAGATATTTTTTGTAATTTATCAAGTAAAACAGAGAGTGAGGAACATGGTAGTAATACCGGTTTTACTGTAATGTTCCTGCCATGAAAATTTGAAACAATATAGAGAATGAGATTTAAAACTTCCATTTTCCATTCCAAAAACCATTTGATTACAACTTAAGAAATGACTGCTGAATGACTTTAGAAATAGACACTAACAAGTTAGAGCCGCAGAATAAGCTTAAATTATTAATTTATGTTTTGTCCGTGTTCGTTGAATGAAAAATGGCAATTAAGTGACATGAACAAAACACGGCGTAACTAGTCTAAGCTTATTCCTTATTTGTTAATAAGGAGGATATAGTCAACGATATTAAATACCCTAGATACACCACGTGCGCTCAAAATGTGTCCCTATCAAGAAGTGCTTGAACACCACTCAAGCACTTCTTTATTCACAGTCACGCGCGGACCGTTGAATAGGCAACGTGCCGCTGAGCTCCGTGAAAACAGGCGAATGAAATACATAAAGAATGTAAAATGTCGGTTTTTCGACAGGTATCTAATCAATGTTTGTTAATTTAACGCATTTGAAGTAAATTTTGTTATAATACTTACTAGAAACTGATTTAATAGAAAATATTTGTGATATTCAAATGCTTGGTCGATAATATAGCCGTCTCATTTCCTCTCGGACCGTACCTGCTATATTACTATCAGCGCATTCAGAATTGCGCGTACAGTCAAAGAAATAAGGTCTTTATTCTTCTGCATATAGCAATAAGTCGTAAAATTTTACGAGCTTACATATCGGACTGTCATAACTCTATGACGCATGCGTTTTAATTTTCAACTTTTAAATAATGCCTTATATTTTTTAGACTACGCGATCATCTTACGGAGCTCCGTGGATTGTTCAATGTACCTTGTGGACAGGTTTCGGGCATGATTTTGTTCGTGTTGGTGTATCTAGGGTATTTAATATCGTTGAATATAGTATATTCGAAGCGTTAAGAGCCCTTTCACATTTTTTGCAAAAAATTGAAGTAAAGATTTTGACTATTTCCAAATTGAAGTTAACAGTAGATTTATTCTTCCTATTGTAAGTTAATGTAGAATATTTGCAAATACTATTTTCCTTTTTTGTACTGATCGTTCTTCTGCAGCTAGTTAACAGAAAAAACGTTAATATACACAACTTCAAACGCCTAAATCTCTGTAACTACGACATCAGAAATATGTTGTATTTGTAACATAATGTATTAGAATTTTCATTTTCCATCACATTAATTATCAAAAAAAAAACATCTAACCTCAATCCTTGAGTTTTCCCAAAAAATAATGCAGGTGTACCTCGTTTTTTGATATTGAATTAAATAGAATTACTATCAAGAACTTTCATAAAACTATTCTACCATCATTGAACTACTGAAATATGTATATATTTTCATAATAAGTCTATTAATAATTATGTTATAAGACTCGAAACATCACCCGTAAAATGCAATATATACTAATGCAACTTACGCGCCGATTAGTACGGTAGCGGCGCAATTTTGTAAAAGGGCTCTTAAATATAACTGTATAGAATATGCGAACGATCCCTTAGTTTGTTGCATCACTGCAATCTTTTCATTTATCGTCATTGAAAAACCTCCCCTGATTACTGTACCTACCCCTAGCACGAACCAATACCGAATTCGAATAGTTTGCGAGTCCGAAATGTCATTGTCAAGTATTGTATTGAACCTTGAACAGAAGCGCCATAATTGACGTAACGAGAACTAAAAACCAGTTCACAATTGACAATTACATTTCCGACTCGCAAACTATTCGAATTCGTTATTGGTTCGTGCTAAGGGTGCACGTTATTAAAGTGAATGTTGAATGGTTTAGGTGCAGAGAACCAAACTCCTCCAGTAGCGCGGCCATCTTTGTCGTACGACGAGTTGCGCCGGCGCAACCGCGGCGAATACGTCGACGCCAAGCAAGACCCATACAAGTACGTTTATAATTATATTCTTTACACAATAGAAAACACTTTATTGTATTAAACATCTGCCCTAGTACAAATTAGAATATAAACGTAGCGGGATTATGTGCCTAAAGGGAGCAACCTCACTTCCCAACCGTATATTGTTAATACAGTAAAAGCTCCTTATTAACCATTTCTTTAATCGCGTTTTCACTATTCGCAGATCTAAAAATGGTATCCCAATCCTATATGCGCGGGTATATCCTATAACACACATCAAAAAAGTTTGAGATCACTTGCAAAAACAGATATATTTTCAAAATTTAACTTAATCAAGAGAAAATGTTTACGTTACATCTTTTTTTTATTTAAAAATACACTTTCTGAAATTAAAAAATGAAACTAATTTTATTTTTTAGTAATACAAATTTAATAATTCAATCCAAAGGCGATTGTAATAGAACTATGATAGAAATAAAAAGATAAACTTAAAAACCTTATTATTAAGAAATTGTTGTTTATCTAATACAAAATAACTCCTCCTCTGGCTCGAACACATCGGAGAGCCTCCTTGGCATACTGAGGATCAAGTTATCCAGCATTTCTTGTGGTAATCTGTTCCATTCTTGAACAGCTGCTTCCTTGAGCTACGGCACTGTCTGGGGTGGTGGCTACCGGTTCCAAACAACACGCTTAAGAGCATCCCACGCGTGCTCTCCTGGGCTTAAGTCAGGAGAGCCGGCAGGCCAGTCTAACCTTGTGATTTCGTATTCTCGGAGAGCAGCATTGACTCGTTGAGCTCGATGTGCGGGCGCATTATAGTCAACCAGTACAAATTGGTGCCCATGGTTTACTCGGAAAGGTCTGACGATTCAATCAATAGCGGCTGTTTTGTTCTGTCTGCCGTCATGAAGCCTTGATAAGGGATTAAAGGCGTTCTAGCCCCAATCATATTACCACTCCAAAAGTACACTGATTTCCCTCCTTGCTGAACCGTTCCAGTGGCCGTTCTTTGCCTTTCAGAATCTCCAGGTCTTCTCCAAACACGGACACGTCGGTTATCTGGATGAGTACTGATTCTCGATTCGTTAACGAAGAATCAGTTTTGCCAAATGTTTTGCTCTTCTTCTTCTTCGTTTTGCCGGAGCCTAGCTCACTGTAAAATGTGAATTCAAAGGTGCACGCCAAGACCTCCGTGCACGTAATCCAGCCTTGTGTAAGCAATTCCGAATGGTCTGAGTGCTAACTTCAAGTCAGGAGGCGGTCCGTATTTCTGCTTTTAATTTAGTGGCATTTATTGTTGGGTCGCGGGCTACCCAGCAGCCTGATGTAGCGCTTCTGAGCAGCTGTCAAAACAGTTGGGCGACCGCGGAGGGGTCGATCAGCTAAATTACCCATGCCGTGGTACCTCTGCAACGTGGTTACTACACAGGATTGGTATATGGCAACTCTGCGTGCTATTTCTCTCGTAGAATATCCTTCTTCCCTCAAAGTTACAATTCTGGCTCGTAAAACGTCTGATAATCCTCGTGGATTTTTTTAAATCACAACTTTCCATGAAAAAATATTTTAAATTCGATAATATTGACTATAGTCCAGGCAACGAATGCTCAAAAACAGGTATAGAGGGAAATGCTTGGAACACAATTTTTGACTTCGTAACTTTGTTAGGACTAGTTAGGAGGTAAACATATCAATAGTCCCCGCCCGTAGCCCTTAAGCCGGGGTGAAGGGGGGGATTGAAGGTCCCATTTTTAGGGTTTTCGCATATATCTCGGAAACTATGCATCCTAGCGACATGAAACTTTGACAAAAGTGAAAGCTGATTAAATTTGCTACAAGTCTTATTCAGTCAAGTTTTTTGATATCTTGTATAGTTTTCGAGATATCCGCTCTTGAAAGTCTGTAATTGACATAGCGTCTTAAATCATTAACTGCTGATAATAATTGGGCGTATGACAAAATCGGAGTTGACTCATCTTCTTCTTGTTCATTATCACTTAGGGCCTCTTCTTGTGAGTTATTCACATTCTCAATAAGATCTTCAATTAAAATTTGGTATGGTGCCACAATGTCATCAATGGAAGAATATCCATGAAAACCCTGGGGGTCGCTTAGCGTGCATCGCTTGACACCTCGGTAATCGTCACGTCAATCGCTGGCCGCTGCCGCAAGAGGGTGGATGGGTGGTACGTCTTGGCGATATAGGCGTATTAAACGATATGACGAATCGTGTTAAGCGTTAAGAAATGTATGAAAACATGTCTCAAGTTGCAGGGACTGACGCAAAATGGCGTAGTATGCGAGAAATCGTATTAAGCGTGATCGTATTAAACGGGTTCTACGGTATTTGATTTTTTAGAGTTTACTCCTTAAGAATCGATTTGCACATATAAGGGGCCCGGTATAAGAAACATGTGAGGAGTAAAATCTATCGATGAATGACCTCGTTACGTTTTTTGTGCGAATCCTATGTCGCGCAACATTCCAATTTGGTTGTGAGTGTAGGGTATAGGGACACGTGCATAGGGTATACTGCAAAGCGACTATACCTATATGTGATTGGGTTTGTTTATTTATATATGTATATTATTTTCATTAATTTGTTAATTTACCCTTTCATACAGTATCAATCTTTTTTAAGTTAAATAAACTCTTTTTGCGTCTGGTTAGACTATCGAATTTAAGGATTAAACTCCAGTCGTGCGCTTAGATTAAAGCAAAAAGGGTAGATACGGTACGCTCATACTTGCATCAAACAAAAACTGATCCCACGGCAGCGCGAACAGGACGGCGAGATTCGTGTCACTGCATTGCCGACCCGAACGAAACAGCACGTTAAGTTTCAACGGCAGCGCAAACGAGACGGCGAGATCCGCGTCACTGCACTACCGACCAATTACGCGACCAGTACTCGACGTTACTACCGAATAAGATTCAAAACAAACAGCAATTTTTTTGAAAAAATATATTTTATAGTACTTACGAATAAAAAGTGATGCCGTGGGTTTTATTTTTAGTTCTTGAGCAATTTGAGCACTTTTTAAAAACACACTTAGGCATTGTTTTATCATATAAACACAAAGTATTAGCAATATTTCTTTTTGGCGTTCACATGTACGTCGTTTGCATGTCAAGTTGTGGCTAAAGCGATTAGGGTCGTGGACCACATTTCATGCGGATCACTTTTGTGAGGCTAGTGCCGTATCTACCCTTTTTGTTTTAATCTAAGATCGTGCGTCGGAGCTGACACACACATTTTTTGTTATTTGAACAGGATCGATCCCGCCTTGGCGCCGCCTATCAGCCGTCCTCGCCCCCCTCCGTCATCCCAGCACACAAACAAATACGGCGACGTTATGGATTAGTAACCGCCTCTGTACATTCTCAGTACGGTCCACGTTTACCATTACGACACAATCGGCGAAACTGTACCCTTAGCACGAACCAATATCGAATTCGAATAGTTTGCGAGTCCGAAATGTCGTTGTCAAATTTTGTATGGAAACTTGAACAGCGGCGCCATAACGAGAAATCTAAAAAAAGAGAACTAAGAAAATCAACTGTCTGCCATCAGTACCATTAGCACGTACTAATATCGAATTCGAATAGTTTGCGAGTTCGAAATGTCGTTGTCAAATATGTAATGATTTTTAATTCTCGTTACGTCCGTTATGGCGCTGATGTTCAAGTTTCCATACAACATTTGACAATGACATTTCGCACTCGCAGACTATTCGAATTAGATATTGGTTCGTGCTAAGGGTACTGATAGCAGATTGTTGATTTCCTTATGTAATGAGGGCTATCGTTTTTTGTCTCACCAGATGGCGCCACTGTTGAGTGAGGTCCTGAAGTGTAACTTTTAAAGTTAGTAAACACGCTCGTGATATCAAAGTTTACATTTTAATACAAAAGAATCGTATCTTAAACAAAATCGCCCATGCCACAGTGTTGCGCAGTCCCGTTTTATTCGGAAAAAGAAGGACAATATTTTTTCTTAGCTCCGCTTTTAAATAACTGACAATCATTGACACGTAACTCATATTTGCCATAATAAGTCTGATTTATTACCAAATATTCACAACTATTATTTTAATTAGAAAAAAACCGCGTAGTCAACCCGCAAGCTATAACATTTGACATTTCGGAGACCTCACGCTACACTAGCGCCTCTAGCGGCGGATTCATACGCGATAGCCCTCATTAACAAGACTGTTTTTGCGGAAACCAGTTTCTAGTAAAACACTATATTTTTTTACTCGACTCGCATTTTCTTACCGCTAAACGTACTTCCTTGATATGCATGAAGGAATTATCTATGTGATATAAACGGAATTGTATACACCCCGGCAAACTTCTTTAGCATCGACCATAGACCAGGAAGCCTGCGCAGTAGCAGTTTTACATACAAAACCGTTAACTGCGCAAGTTTATTTGTCTGTGGTTTTGCTCGAGATGTTTACTGCTACCCATTTGTGAATGCTTTCGCAACTCATTTGGAATGTGCGAAATCTCTTCAAGATTTTATGCAAATTTTAATTAAATTTGATACTAGTCTTGTACTATTCCTATCGCAAAGACAGTAGCAGAATCAACTATAAGCAAACATAAAATTGATTGTCGGTTCTTAGTGTGGCCAGCTAGTCGTATTGGTATTTTGTGACGTAACGAGAATGTATCGTACGGGGAACGACGAGATTGTGTGCCAACAGGGCAATATTTAGTTGCCGCCACGGAATTTATGGTGTTTATGATTCCATGTAAGTTAGCATGTATGTAATTTTATACGTGCGTATGTACGTTTAATAACAAGATTTTTTTTGAATAAATATATAAAATAGCACAGGTCAAACACGTTAATGAAATCAATATTACACATCTTTATCAGCTAGTATGCTAGAAAAAAAAACATGATATTAATATAATTTCGCCATTATTTTAACACAAATATAGACATCAATATTACAATCGAATGGCAATTACTCGATATCTTTACACCAAGAAATAATGTAATTCGATAACAAAAACACAAATAAAGCTGTGGCGGCACGAATCACATATTTTGTAGTACATAAATACAATAAATAAAAATCATGTAATATTTTGTTAATATTTGAATAAAGTAGATAAGAGTTATATTGTGTTTCATTTGAGTATGCAGAAATCCTTCGCTTTGATTCATTTTTATGGTATATATGAGGGGAAGTCAAAAAGTTCGCGGAATAAGAGGGAAGGAGGTTGAAATTAAACACCAAACTATTTTTCCCTTTCAATTTATTCTCCCTTAACCCTAATACATTTTTCAGATCTCTCAAATAACTTGTTTATACCATCGAAAAAAAATGATTTGTCGTTGGTGTCGAAATAGGCCCAAATTGCGGACTTCACTTCTTCGTCACTTCATCGTCGTCCATTTTGTTTCCACGCAGCTCTATCTTCATTTTTGGAAATAAATAATAGTCACTGGGTGCCAAGTCTGGACTGTAGGGTGGGTGGTTCAATTGTTCGAAGCCGCATCGGTGCATGGCAGCCGTCGCAACATGGCACTTGTGAACGGGTGCATTGTCGTGCAGAAGGAGCACACCTTTTGACAGCTTTCCTCTTCTTTCTTCCTTGATGGCTCTTTCAATCTTTCCAGTAAAGAAGCGTAGTACTGTTCCGGTATAGTCACACAACGTTTTTTATAATCGATCAGTAAAATACCTTCTGGACCCCAAAAGACAGTCGCCATGATCTTGCCAACCGATTGTGTCACTTTGAACTTCTTTGGAGGATGTGCCTTTTTTATGCCACTGCATCGACTCTTGCTTTGACTCAGGTCATAGTGGTGAACCCAGGTTACATCACCAGTAACGATTCGGGCCATAACTTCTTCCTTTCTCTGTCCACAGAGCTCCAAAAACTGGCGAGAACACACGACACGCTCGCGTTTTTAAGTGGCGTAAGCATTCTCGGAACCCATCTTGCACTGACCTTAGTCATCCCAAGATGATGATGTAGAATATTCAAAATACTTGTTTCGCATACTCCAATCATTGCTGCAAGCTGCTTCTTCTTCAACCGGGCACCTTGCAATACAAGTTTTTCTACTTTTTCGACCATTTCCGGTGTGGTGGCCTCAATTGGCCGTCCGGAGCGGAGGTCGTCTTCAATGGACTCTCTTCCTTGTTTGAAAAGGCCATGCCACTTGTAAACCATGGTTTTACCAGGGGCAGAGTCCGCGTAAACCGCCAACAGCTCTTGAAAAATAATCTGAGCGGATTTTCCTTGCTTGGTAAGGAACTTAATAACGGCGTGGTGTTAAATTTTCTCCATACTGGCTGACTTCTTCCCGATTCAGTTGTTTGCAGGTCGATAACTCAAAAGTTAATGACCCGATTGGGTTCAAATTGGTATATATATATACTCTTACTGAGGTGCTCAACTAGTGCTTACCTGGACGAGTAAACCTACCCCCACCAACCCCTCCATTCCGCGAACTTATTGACCTCCCCTCGTAGTCCGGTCAATTTAGACATTCAAAGGTGCATAAATTCCCATCAAGCTGAAAGAGAGAAAAATTGTTCAAAACATAATAATTTTTTTTCGCTATTTTTATCAAAACGGTAAGTTTTATCGTAAAATTATCCCCTTTTTTCCCTAAGAGCCACTGTTCCCGAGAGCTATTGTCATAATATGCATAAGTACTTCACGTATATACTATTTTTGTAGCTGTTAATATTAGTGAAAATATTTTTCTATCGGTGATTGTAACTTACATTTAAAATATACATAGGTATTAAAATAAGAATGTTGTGATAGAGCTTTTAAAAAAAACACTCGAAAAAAAACAAGTCCAATAGGGATGATGACTAATTTTTTTTTCTTCGTTTATCAGGTAGATTATCAAGAAGTATTAGACACGTTTTTTTTCTTTTTTCACATAATATAAACATTGCAGAGATATATTGATTTGAAAAGTCGCATGACGTCACGTTTGAGTACACTTAAGTGAAAATTCACTAAAGTGACGTCACGAGCCCCTAATCCCAAACTTTGACGCGCTATAACTTTGTAATTTTTCGGTTGATTGCCCAAAGAAAAACTACGTGTCCATTATTTTTTTATAATCTAACTGACGGACTAAATAGAATTTCGTTTACTGTACCCCGTCATCACCCCTATTAGCAACCTCATTTGGTGTTCATCAACGTTTTTTTCGGTTATGCATATTACCAAGTTCAAGTGTAGCTTGGATTTCAGCTAGACCCAAAAAACTGAGTTTGAAAGTTGGTTGGCAATAGGACTATTTAAGACTATTCCTGCCTGCGCCGGAAAAACTGCTTAACACATTTTTTTTGCAACTGTAAAAAGGGAGCTCTATGGTGGTTAGCGCGAACGGCTGCGATCGTTGAAGTTAAGTAACTTTCGCAGTGGTTGGTCATTGAATGGGTGTCCAAAAATCTTCTATCTCGAGGTCCTCCGTGCTTCGGAAGTCACGTTAAGCCGTTGGTCCCGGCTGCATATGCAGTCGTTAGCACCCGCCAATCTGCACTGGGCCCGCGTGGTGGGTCATGGCCCAATCTCCCTATTCCATCCATAGGGAAGACCTGTGCCTCAGCAGTGGGGACATTAATAGGCTGATGATGATGAAAAAGGGATGCGGTGCTAAATGTGGTTGCAAAAAAGTTGGACTGTTTTGTACTCTGGAATGTACGAATTGTCAAGGCCAGCCGTGTTATAATGTGGAATCAATCACCAACAGTAGATGATTCGTTTGCTTCCAACGAAGAGACACGTGATACTGCGCTACTGACGCAATTCATTTGCACCCAGGATGCAGAAGAAGATAAGAAGATCAAGAAGAAAAACAAAAAGAAGTAATTGAAGATTATTAATCGGACGAATAACTTTTTTGTTTATATTTGTTTATTTATTATGCAATAGTTCCCAATTAATCACAACAGACTGACAATGACAACAGATGGAATAGGCCTACTGGAGAATCCACGTTAAAAAAACGCGCTAAGGACAGAGGTGGCGTGGAAACTTGTGCATATTATAACGCTTACAACTTTGTAATAATATTCTTTTTCCTAAGAGCCACTTTCCAGAGATATTGATTCATTTTTTATAGATAATTTTATGATCTACACTTTTTGTTTAAGGTAATTTTACAATAAAACTTAGTTTTGTTGAAAAATCCATTTTTGACCTTGTTTTTTTCCATGTGCCGGAACTATGGGGAATTTTGATGTTATTTTTAATAACTTTTTAAACAATTGTACTTACTTTCAGCTTGATGGGAATTGGGGCACCTTCACTCTTATTTTTTTTGTCTAATTTGACCGGCCTAATAGCGGATGTGATGGTGGATTACAAACAAACATGAAATGTCGCAAAGCAATTATTATAAACTCGCATTACACAATGCTGGGCTTATTACATTATATCGCAAAGCACAGCTACAAAGAAACAGAAAGATTATAAATTTTACTTATGTACGCAATGATTACATGCAGTCTATAAGTAATTAGAATACAGTTTTGGCTTACGCTACGATCACGCACTATGGAGAGCATTCTGATACAGATCACACCTGAACGAAATTTTTTCTGATTTTTTTCATCTGTTTCAAAACACAATAATATAATGTAGACTCAGTAGCCGCCACATTATTACGCCACACCGCTAGTATACGCC